GATTTTGTAAAGATCGTTAAATATGAACGGGATCGTAAACCAGTCTCAGATAGCTATAGAAACCTGGGAGCAAGGATTGGCAAAACAAGTGCAGGATTTCTACACTAGAAGAACATATGAAACTCAAAACAACCATCAACCAATATCAAAATCACAATCTTCAATACGAACGTACGAAGCTGAAACTTGGATAACAAACACACAACCATTATCAAGAACGTAGTAATATTTATAAACAGTTGTCTACACAAGATACTTAATGTCCGTTGGCCGGATACCATCAGGAACAGCTTACTGTGGCAGAGAACAAACCAGCTTTCATGTGAAAAAGAAATTACGAAGACAAGTTGGAGGTAGATAGGACATACATTGTAGTAATCATCAAACTGCTTCACGAGGTAAGTGCTAACTTTGAATCCTGAAGGGAATCGTAAAAAAGGAAGACCAAAGAACACACTGCTTTGGGAATTGAAAGCAGACATCAAGAGAATGAATAGCAACCTCATACAGCTGGAAAGTATTGCTTAAGATAAAGTTGGGTAGTGAGTGATAGTTGGCGGCCTATATTCCTCCACGACGGCTAACAGCAATAAATGAGTAAGTAAGGGACTCCTACAAACCTACCAGGGGTTCAATCAATCGGTTTCATATCTCATGATAAAAAATTATCCCTTAGACCACAGGCCTCTTTAGTAACTAATTTCAGTAGTTCTAGTGAAAAGCTGTAACCACTGTGAACTTCAAACTAAAAGCATTTATCCATGAGAGATAAAGCAAGATGGTTTTGGAATATTGAAAACTGACAGTAGTCTAAAGGTGAAGGATTGGTTTAAAGATCTCAAGATCGTAATTTCGATGTTCTGTAGAATCGTGGATACGCAATGTTGAAGATCCCGTCATTTAAATGAAACAACAATCTTATGTTCCTTAGTTTTGATTAGTTGTCTGACTAAAATCGGTTTGTGACTTCAGTTTTATTTTAAACGAATGGCATTTAAACTTCTAATGAATTTACAATAAAATAATTAGCTACTACTTTGTTTGACATTGATAAAAGTTTATTTTTGGTTACAACTTTTGACAATAATCTCTATGATGTTTTTATTGTATTAGGTTTCTTATTTATCTGTTGACAATAATTTATATGAATTACCAATATGTTTGTTTGACTATCAAATGAACAGGTTAAATCTGTCGAGACTAACATTCTTTTTCTTTGGAGATAATTTACATGATAGTAGCTTCATTATGCATTCTTTTTTATGTCATGTCTACAATGATTTGAAAGATTGGGTCATGTTATAGTTTGGGGCTTTTATGCCCTGTTAATGTATAACGTAACAATATTGCCAATTAGAGAACAGTGAATTATCGATCGGACTAATGATGTGTAAAACCTGTGCGAAAAGTCTAGAGTACTTATCGATCCTGCTTAGTTAAGTCCAGAACACCAATCTCAGCCTCTGCAATATGAATTATTTATCACAAACATACAGGGTTTAGATACTAATCAAACAGACCACATCATACTATAAAATATGAAACAACATTTGTACAAGATTTGGCCAAATGTGGCTGTAAGATGTTGGAGAAGATTTGTAGTTCAGGTGGATGATTTTGATTGAGTTTTGTCCTCTGATCTGGAAGGTTTGGTCGTGGGGCTTTCATCGTTCTTCTAAACGACATCATCAGCACAAACTTCACTTCTATCCGTTCAGAAAAACGATGAAAGCTCCACGACCAAAACATCCAGCTCAGAGAACAAAACTTCACCAAATGTGGCTGTGAATGAGGGAGAATGTAATTAATAGACAGGGAATAATTCAAAAATGGTAAATCGTAAAATAATAGCCCATAGATCAAAATAAAGCTCATAATAAGAGGGACATGAATTTGAATAGTTTAGTTATTTAACAATTATGCAATAAAAATATACACGTAGTATTGGTCCATAAATGGATCCTCAAAGTTACCATTCATTATGCTTATCAGGACATAACAATTACTTGGGGAAATATACATATAAATATATATTCTCTTGGATTAGAACAACTGATTTATTAACTTTGATGGTTATAATAGTCATTCTCACTTTGTATCCACCTATCAATTAATGAAAACTAGTCAATGTCATATGGTTTTAGTTTCCCTTTTTTCTTTTTCCCATTCTTTTTCTCTTTTTAAAGAATTAAATAAAATAAAAAAATTTGATAAAATATGAGCAGTAGGAAATACCAACCAAGAATCTGTAGCTAACAGATTGTTTGTACGAATGTATAGTTTATTAGGGATTAGAAAAAGATTTATTTATTATACATCATTTTTTGAAGTGAATTGTCTAAAGGTCGATAAAAATGTCTGTTTAATATTAACTTTTGTGAATGAATCAGTAGTTAAGTCGATAACACGATGGCGTTTGGAGTGAACGGTACTGGGTTCGAGTGCCAGAGTGAAAAATTGACGAGTCCAAAATAAAACAAAACGCATATATTAGATTGAACCGCTGGCCACTATCCACATCTTTGCTTAGAATGTTTGTGACTTAAGGCAATATCGAGGCAATCTGTATAGGATGCATATATATTCTAATAAGAGACTGATCAGTTGCAGTCCTAAGCAACAAAGTGAAGATACAAGTATACAACTACTATTCATTATGGTTATTGGGATATAACAGGTTCATAGAATTTTACAATCAAATAGACCAATAAACATTATATATGTATATAATGGATAGAATTTAGTTTACTAGTTAAATGTGAATAGATTTCATTAATAATGATTCATTATTTGATAAAAATGAGTCACATTCAACTTTTCTTTCTAGCCAACAACAACAACAACATAAAACGATGTTACGCCATCGGGACTGCGTGACTGATTTAATTATGCTCATACATTGTACATAATATATTCATCATTATATTTGAATTGTAATTCACATGTATACAAATAGTGGTAATCTAAAATTCTATTCGAGAGTGACCTTGTAATTTTTTTAAAAAAAGTTACACATTATTATTATTATTATTATTATTATTATTATTATTATTATTATTATTATTATTATTAGAGTTATAATGAACTTTTGAAGCCTGAGGGTGAAATGTGTATAGAAGGTATAAACAAAGATTAGTTGAGTTCATTTAATTCTCTACATTATTATATACATCATTTTCATTTTAACAAAAACTAACAATGTAATTCCCAAATGTATAAAAGAAATACTAATGAAGTTAGATGCATGTTTCTTTCTTTCAAGTATAGAATTCCTTTATTACTATGATTATCATCATCATCATTATCTTTATTATTGACCAGAATAGTCTTTAGACATTACTGTAAATGTTTGGATTTAATGATCAATATGATTAACATTTGTGTTAAGTTATGCAATTACAGAAAAGACACAAAAAAAACACAACAACAACAAGGAAATACATTCGCTACCAGTACAATATGATGGAAAGATTGGTTCATATTTAAGTAGTCTGTAAATATGAATGATAGATGAATATTATCAATTATGATGTTAAAATGAAAGGATTTATTCGGATCTCTTTGGACAACTATTGATTACTAGAAATTGTATTTCACTATAAAATTGAATAAATTTATTGAGTGGTTTTAAAAAGTAAGAAATCTAGGTTTAGTTTTCATTCAATCAGTTAACTGTGATCATAGATGTCTTCGAAACATTGCTGGTATATCCTAGTAAACTTCATCAGTTGAGATGACTGGGACATGTGTTACGTATGTCCAACCACTGATTGCCCCGACGTGAGATGTTTTATGGTGTAGGAGTAGATTGGAAGAAAACTAGAGGCGGCCAGACCAAAACATGGCACAAATCCATGAAGCCATTGACAAGTGGACTGAACCGTGTTGGTAGATATAGATTAACTGGTTCCGGGGATCCGTGAGATAACATGGCTCAAAATCGTTTGCAATGGCGCAGGTACATCCACTCTTTGTGTTCTACCAAATTCTAATCTTCTGAATTCTTCATGTCCCTACCTTTTTCTCTCTCCAAATTTATTTCACTGGATTATACTCATTGAATAACATCTTCAAACCCTAGTGTTTCCGATTAATACTTATTCTTTTACTACCTCTACCACCATGGGATTTGAAAGGAAAATTGTATCTGTGTGCTAATGTGGTATGGCAACTCGAACTCATGTACGTACTTACGAATTTCTATGTTGTTGCTGACTGATTGACTGAGTTAACTGCGATATCGGAGTCATTCAACTTTAGTGACATGTTCAAATAACACAATGAAGTGAGTAGCACGATAGTGTAGACTACATAATTTTGCGAAGCAATTAGTCGGTGCACTGGCAACAGATAATTTAGTGCAATCCGATGGAAATGACTGGAATTGAAATGGACTAAATTTATTCGACTTATTTTCTTTTTTGCATAAAAGCTCAATAGAAAGACTTAGAATGAGTGTGAATGGAGTAGTTAATGAAGTAGTTAAATACAAATGGTGTTTGACATTCAGATATTAAGTCACAAGTTCAATTTTTTTTCGGTTTGGGGAACTGGGTGACAACACTAGCACTCTTGCTAAAAATGTCTCGAAGCTAAGTAAGCAAATCATTGCAAGATAATATGTTGTTAATAGTAACAGGCAGTAATTTCCGTAAGAAAATGTGATCCGTCAGGTCCCAGCTTAGTGACCTAGTTGTTATTTTTTATACCGATTTTTCACCTGACATTTGTATTGAACGTCTACAAGTCTTGCATACTCATTTTCGAGAAAATTGAAATAGTGTAGTCTGTCTTCTAACTCAACATTACAGGTGATTTGATGTATTTATCTTTCAGTAATGAAGAAGTACATACTTATTCATACCATCCTTTACTAAAATCAGGTTAAAGTGGTCGTTATTCCAAGTTAAATTTACATGACTAGGAAAAGCTATTATTTGTTCTAATTGAAATAATTTTTTACTATAATCTCTTCTCTTTTTCTTTGTTTTTCTCATTAGATTATCTTCCAGTGGTAACAACGATCAGAGGATACATACATACACGTGTAAACACTCGTTAACTATCTTTATTGTAGTCATTTCTGAACGCCAAGTTGATAGTAAGCTTAATTTTATTAAGAGATTTTTCGGTTAGGTTATTTAAAGGTTATTTTAATTAAAGATATGAACAAACAATGATTTGTGATGGAGTATCATCACGAAATAATAATCATAATATTAAGTACTAGCCAAAAGCTGTGCTTTCTCAGATTAAATTGATCTGCAAGATCTCATCACCATAGGACCATCAAGGTCAGTCAGCAATACTGATTGCTGAATGTTGAATAATTTAACTGAGAGGTAATATGTGTTGAGTTCCTACTAGTAATGAATATCATTAAATCAATAAATTGTAGTTTCTATCTTCATACCTGATCAGTTCTTTGTTTTTGAGTGGTAGACGTTAATTTTTCAAAAGAATTGGAATACTAATTGCTCTTCATACAGTCGATCTGTCTAGACCTATTGAGAAATAGTTTTCATCATAGAAAGAAATTCTCTGGAGAACCTATTGAAAAGTTAGGGATAATTGACATGTGTTCCATCTTGTTGTTACTGGAAATTATTTAACAGTGTTTTCTTATAGAACTAATTCAATAACATAAGTCTTACAGTGAGCATCGCATACTTAAACTGCAGTTTCCAGTATTAGTAGATATAGTATGGTCATCATCCGATTCTAACAGTTAGTAGATGCTTCATACGTATCGTGATTAACTTTAAAGTGTACACCCTCGGATAAGTGACATTTGTTAAAATTCATTAATACTACTTTCCTGTCATTCATACTACTGAACTTTTAATTTGTTAATAAAAATCTTTTACTCGTTTCTGCCAAATCAACATTTATAACATTAGCCTCATAAACGAAACAACTACACTTACGCAATGTCAAAAAATACATCTTACTTTCCCTCAATTCTATTCCTCCTCTACTTCATGTTATCAGTGTATACTGAACAAAATAACAATGACATTAGTTTCCTGTAACAAAAACAATAGTCACTATTATTGTTCATATTAGTGACTGATTCAAGCACTGATTACTTTGAGTAAGTGAAGGGACAATCAAGTGCTTTCATCACTCTAACATTGCAGATAGGATTTATTGATGTAGATCATTAATTCGTCCATTAGCATTTTCTGCACAACGACTGTCTTGGAACTGATATTTGTCATGATATTTTATGTTCACTCATAAGTAGCCTCATACTAATAGGAAAGAGGTATTTAATGTTGATATGGTGGAGAAGATTTGTAGCTCAGATGGATGATTCTGATGGAGTTTCGTTCTCTCAGATGGGTGATTTGGTCGTGGAGCTTTCATCGTTCTTCTGAACGACATCATCAGCACAAATTTCTATCCAGCTCAGAGAACAAAACTCCATCTACTCAGTGTTCCCTAATTTTCATTGGTATACTAACTGAAATCAATTTATGACGTAAATCATCAACAAATATTCTATAACTGTTCAGATAAATTCAACAGGCTAATTTTTAAGGTAATTTAGTTATATGAAGATTTACTTGATCAAGTGAATAGAAATAACCAATCAACCAGTGAGAAGTTCGCATATACTCGGCAACAAATTAATCAGCTGAGAAATATTAACTCCTGGATTTCAATATTGTTTTCTTTGTATAATCCGTATAAAATGATCAAAAGTGGTTGCGTGTACATTGATTAGACTTTAATTTTTTTTGCCAAATGATTGAAAATTTCCACATGACTGTTAGTTTTAAAAATTTCACGTCATTATAAAGGTACTATGTTGAACATTACTGAGGTATAAATACTTATCTACTAAGAATGAAATAGACCACACAATTGTAAAAACAGTGTTCTTATACAGTAATTGTTTACTTGCTACCCTGTATTTTACATTCAATTAAGAATCAACAATAAAATAGTATCCTAAAGTGAGATCAGTGTTAAAATTCTCTTGAAAAAATTGTTATCTACCATGCTCTTGAGAACATAGTTCAATGACCGAATGATATTCAATTGTGGTAGACATTGAATACACACATCACTTCTCAATGAAACAATTCAGGATACTTGAGCTAGTCTTCAAATAAATTAAACCTCTATTTCGGGTCACCCATACCTCAGCTAAGTCATTTGACGAATTCCTCACTTTGATATTAAAAAGATATGAGTTGAAACTTGATTGAGTACGTTTATTCTTTTGATAGATTACAAATACATTATTCTGATTGGTTTTAAGGAATCTAAATAGCGATAAACGACATCCTGACACAACTACCTTCAAAACACTTTATGAAGACATTCTATTTATTTGCTAATGAATTTGTCCTTTGCCTATACAACAATAAAATAAATCAGTGTTTATTTTACTTATTTCTTAAGACTTTCTTTAATTAAAAGTGAAACGTTGATTCGAAAAAAACCACAACACATATCCTATGTTGAAATGTAATGGTGGTTGTTTCATCGTTTCACTTCACAAAACGTATCCATGTTTTGTTGAGAAGTAATCACCTTCAAGTCATTGTAATCTGCTTGGTTTTTTCTCGCCAATTCTACACGTCTCAATGTTCGCGCTTGTTTTCTGTCTACTTAATTGAAATTTAAGTAGTATTTTTTTCGAAACATGATAATAAATAAAACATGGGTGGGGATTTTTTTCTGTCTGAGTTTAATTGCTAGTTTCATTTTTACGTATTTATTCACTCAATGTCACAAAAGAATAGAGGACAGAAGTTTTAGAATGGGGAAGAGAGAGAATGGTAGCATAAGTTATCTTCCCTCTTTAGCTTGCAACATTCACCTCTTTTAATTCATTAATTTGTTTTTATTCAAAGTATGTTTCCTTCTTAATTCTGCAATACGTTTTTAAATTGTTTTTTTTTCTTACGAATTGTGTATACTTCAATCGATTTATGAACACTGTGAAATCTACGTGATTTACCATATGTTATCAGGAGTCGATAATTCTCATTGTCTTCACACAATGTGACATATCAACACTAATCAATAAAATCAGTGACCATAACAGTTGAATTAGGATGAATTGAGCTGGGTAGTGTTAAAATAAAAGTGGCAAAAGACTTTTTTTGATGTTGAGAAAGAAGACATAAGAGAATCAAGGTATTAGGAATTATTTAATCAAAGTATTGAATCAATGTATATGAATGAAACAAAATTTGGTAGGTTTATCTTTAAGACACTCTGCTTATTGTAAATCAGTGTGATATGAGTGAAGTTTCCAGCTTGATAAACTTTTATCATTTTAGTTTGTATCACATACTTTATAAAGCATAAAAGTATACACCCTTATTTTTAAACTTAAAACTTCATTACACCATGAAATTAAATGGTATTACTGCCAAATATTACGAAAAATGTAAAAGACACTAAGCGTTTATACTGTTGAGAAATGATAGTCACTTTTTTATGACTTTGTAACGGAATTGTAATACGTTTGTCAGAGGAGATTGCGACAAACTCTATTGAGTTACACTTGTTTAAGACGAACGAAGCCAAAATAGTGATATGATTTAATGGTTAAAGCATTTAACTTTTACTTCTCACTACCCAATTTAGATCACAAATGAACTTAAACAAGTAAAAATCAAGTTACATTTCGGCCATTGAATTAGTATCCAATTTTCCACATTTCAAACTGTAATTCATTCCATTTACTTATTTTGATTCAGGAAGTTTGATAATTTTTAATTCTTATAGGATAATCGTCCGTTAAACAAAAAAAATTAATTTGTGGGTAATCTGAAATCACATTGAAAGCTTCCCATAATCGATAGCTAAGTTATTCAATTCTGCTTTATAGTAACCAATTAGTGCATTTGAAAGATCAAATATCTTAGATATAAACAACATAATCATCTCTAACAGAAACCTCCAGAACTACAACCCCACCCACAACTTCATAAATAGCCACTTGATTTATGTGTGTAAACTAACCGTGAAAGTAAAACTTCTGGTTTTCATTTAGAATTCACTTGGGAAAGTTTCTATGTTTCTAAAAAAAAACTAGAAAATCTATTGTCCTAAGAGCTCAGGATGCAGAATGATCAGAAACCAATAAGAATCTCATTGGCTAATAAAGAATATTATGTTGATTAGTATTATCGATGTGAACTTCATTGTCAGTTCAAGTATTTACTGAATAATATCTGAAATAATAAAATAAGATTAAAAAACATGCCAAGTATTTGTCAGTATTCAAAATTAATTACATGAAATTAGATTAAAACAACGAGAAGATATAATTTACTTTGAGATGGTGTAGAAAATTTGTAGCTCCAGTGGATGATCTTGATGGATTTTTGTTCTCTCTACGTGGATCTGGATAACAATGGATCGAGTCCGTCAGAGGACACTGGTCTTTAAAGAAAAACATGACCAAACCATCCAGCTCACAGAACAAAACTCCATCAAGATATAATAAACTTTTATTTATTTGTTTTTATTTTAACACATAGATATTGGTACAAGGAGGTACCAAATACATATGCGCCACACAGATCTCATTTGACATTGTGGGGGCTGTGATATTACCCGGGTGCCCAGACCGAAGCGGGTGGTTTTCTTAGGGGGCCACAGCCAGAGCCTTCGACCTGAAGGTCTGATTCACAAGGCAGTGGATCAACGTAAGGAGATTCAGTCATGTGGTAGCAGGTGATCAACGATTGGTTCATACGCCATTTATTCCTTCAGGATACTGGATCCCATGTGCACCATTGGTTTGGAATCAGGGTTTTCCAACTCCCCTAGGTGGACTCTATGTCCATCAACCCGGTTAAAGCGCCGGACATTCGCTTTTCTTCTTCTCAGTTTCATAAACAACACCCGAGTCACGAGAAGGTAGTGAGTAGGACTTCCCTGGCAGAGGCTATATAAGCGTCGCCATGTGAGGGCATTTCGAGAGGGAGAGCGGATTCCCTCCCACTTTCGGCCATACCAGGGTATTCGGGAGTTATAATATACTTAAACAATCATAAAATTAAATTAATACATACATTATACAACAAAAAATTAGTAAAGTTAACTTTTGCTCCATTTGTTTCAATTAAA